TTCATTATCCCTTTACATGATATAGCACAATCTATCTTTGCGAGCTTGTTGCGGGCCACGGTCCTCGCGCATTGCAGCAGTAGCCTCCTAGGTAATGGCTCGATTGGAAGCAATCACAATCTGACAACTCAGTATTTAGCTCAGAAAATAGGATGCCGGTTCTGATTTTCAAGTTCACTAGGGATTGGAGGGTACGCATCACTTGTGATTCTGAACAAGTATGAAGTGTTTGACACGTGCGATTCCTCAACTACTGCGACGAAGTGCAAACAAACAGCAAGTATTTCTGGACTGATTCAGTCTAGTAGCACGGATTCAGTGCTCGAAGTCTAGCACCTACGTTCTTCCACCAACTCACTTCATTCAATGAAATATGTTATTTAGAAAAATACGTTTCTTTTTCCGTCACCAACTGTAGCTTTTCGCAATCCGGAGAACTAGCCAGGAGCATGCGTCTTGCGTTTTCCCACATAGATGTGTTTTACTTTGTTTTAATATTAAGTAATCAATTCAAAAAACAAAACTGCATAAAAATCAAAACAACCTGAGGTTCAGGACGCGCCACAATTTTTTGCGCATATCTTGTAGTGCACCAAATTGAATAGACGAAGGACAAATCTATCACGCAACAGGTCTATCAGTCATGAGAGCTACAGGTATAGAGCCGGTATAGGCCGGAACGAATTCTTGTTGTATTATTAGTAAAAGTTAAATTTTGTGTATAAAGAGGCTCACAAGTTGCTTTTGTCTCAGTCGATGTGAATTTTCGTATAAATGCATCAAAAGATGTAATTTTCTTCAACTTCCTATGCAGTTTTGCTGGTGTCGAGATACGAATCCAGTCAAAGTTTCTTCGGGGTCTCAACTATAAACCAATAATTGTGTACCCAAAATCGATATCCGGTTTATTTTGCTGATTACGAAGAATTTGTTACCGAACCAACGGTAATTTTTGTATTCTTTTGGAGAAACATTCTTTTTGTTTAATGCCGTCAACAATTAGATTAATTTACTGCAATTAACACAACGTTTTAGATCCGCTGGTGTGTTCCACCCCGATGGTCACCTTTCGGATCTGATGGAGTGACTGACTGAAATAAACTTTATGTAGTCACGTATCGTACTCAGGCGAGTTCTGATGTTTCGAAATCACGTATGCAAAGATCGCTAGTATCGACGGATTCGAACCCATACATGGACGCCATCCACGCTTTGGTGCAGCTAAGTGAAGAGGCAGTTCTGAAGTTTCTCGCAGTTGAACAACCCGACAAGGATACTAACTACGAGTAATGGACCGAAAAGCTTAAAATGGGTGCACGGTATTTTGGTTCCCTTTGGCTATTATCTTCAGTACTGCTTCACGCGATTCACAACAGCATACCAGACCAACAGGCACATTTATAGACCCCCCCCCCGAGCCGTACTTACGGTATTTAAATTCAGGCTTTTTCAATCGATCTACAAAAATCATATGGCGCCTAATCGTTATTGATCAAGGAATTCGTTAATCATATGGCTTGCTATTCTCGTCATCATCTGCCTCGTGTAACACCGAAAGTTGATAGACGTTTGGGGCTGGAGGGGGGAGCTGACCATAAATTAGTTGGTATGCCTCTGTTTGTGTGTTTGTGATTAGGTCAGAGTTTCGTTGATGAACTAAGCACATTCACCAAAACCCCGTTTCCTCCTACGATGATTACTCGGAGAGAGAGAGTATTCCCGTACACATTGCACTATCATGCATGACAAGGGATGAACCGGTTGTGTTTTGTTCAGCCCGGATCAGCCCAAGATAACTGTGCATGTGTTCTCGTATGTACAGTTCAACTCTGGATGCTTTGCGATTGCACACCTCACCCAAAGTGAACGGGTATTTCTTTCGAACGTGAAAGGCACTTAAGTCTTGTGTCACGCACGCACGTACGCACACAGACAACCTCAAATAGTTCTATGACCAAAGCGAACGGACTAGCACATATAGCCGCGCTTTGATTTTTCGCTTCATCTCTTTCTTGTCCATCGAAATCTTGGCTTTAACATGCTATTCACACATGAAATTTTCCCGCCTACTTTATGCAGCTTTATACGGACGGGACGAGTCCTATGGGGTTGCCTCCCATCTCTCTTATTCCCTGCTTCACTATTACCTATGTCATAGGTGCTTCTTTTTTCTATGTATGAGTCATTGAACGATGTCCTAGGCGGATACTGGCATTGCGCATGTTTGACCATTTGCTCTGTAGGACCAAAACTACTACTTCCAATGTGTACGTAGAAAGAGAGAAACGGTAACTTCGTTCAGTCCAGTCCAGTCCAGTCTCGCCCCGCCCTGCCGCGCCGCGCCACTCCGTGCCCTGTCCCCGTCTCCGTGAGTCTGTGAGAAAATCTTAGTACACTCTCTGAATTTGGTTTCGTTCGCTAATGTGAAGCGGTGCAAGCACGATTGGGAGAAAGGACTCTACAATGAAAATGGCAGTTAAAAAATCAGCCGTATCATGTTAAATGTCACGCTGACAATTGTCCAAGAAGGGCGGGAGTATTGGATTGAGGGTAAGAGAACGGATCATTTCTGAGACGGATCAGTTGTTCGTGCATCCGGATCGCTTGTGACCTGTGTTCGTTCCCTTTGGCTGAGACGTGGTCACCTCAATTGCCTGTGTTTGTCTTCAGTCTGCCGGGCTCCTTGGAGTATGTGTGTGTGTATGTGTGTGTGTGTGTGCGTCAGTGTGTGCGTGAACCACCGCCAGGCAAATATACGGTGACGATATACAATTGAGGAACATACAAAGAGGAAGATAGATCTTCGAGTGACATTTTCCGATTTGTGCGCACGCAATAGGGTCGAATATTCGCCCCCGGCAATTTGTGAAATCCTCAGAATCCACTCATCCACCACCCAACCGAACCAGGGATCTACTCGTCTTTCGAAAAAACAAAAAAAAGAACCAAATTGGTTCTTGCCTAACAGACCTACTGTAATTTAGTGAAATATTGGGAAGACAAATATGCGTGTGTGCGTATGTTCATAACCTCTCCGACTGTCAGCAGTTGATAGTGATACCCTATTGACTAATCGAGACCTTCTACTTTCTGTCTTTGGTGGTACAGGATAAACCCATTGTTGGAATCTTGATTTCATTATTGTCTGCAAAGGAGGAGTAATAGAAGTGAGGTTGGTGGGTCAGGTGAGACGAGGGTGGGATTGAATTATTCACGGCCACACACGCGAAGGCACATCTGAGGGTTGTAAAGGTGAAATCAGATGGGTCCGCAAAAGATGTAAAGTGCGATTAGCCATTCCGAGATTGCACGCAGTCCGTGCGCACAGCGAGTGGTGATACAGGCTACAGTCATTCCTAAAATGCTTCGGTATACCAAAACAGAAAAAGCTATTCTGAACGATTTTTGTGAGACTAGGGTGTTAACGTAGCCGCAACATATAGAATTTGTCTATTGTATAAGCAGTGAATTTCACCGTAGAAAAATAACTCTAAAAACTCCATTTCGCCTGTTCGCCGAGCTTGGCAACTTGTTTGCAAACGTTTCATCACCAACCAACGTGGCATCATCAGTGCTTATGAAGTGACTTGATGATGTCACCACGGCTGGTGATGAAACATTTGTGAACAAATTATCAGGCTCGGCAAACAAGGGAAGTGTGTGTGCTGTGATTCTATTTCTCACCGGGACAGACTTGTTAACCTTTGGTTCAGAGATTGGCAACTAGAAAACTAAAACCCGCGGGACTTGGAATGGCGAACCACATAACGCCTCGATAGGTTAGAGTGGGGGTATCGAACCGGATGACAGGGAAGCGACCATAGTGGAGTAGTGGTGGTGGGGGTGGGGTTCGAACCTCGGACCATGGGGTCCAAAGGACGCCGGTGACAGGATTACAACAACACGTTAACATCAGTGCGGTCAATTGAATCACTTTGCTCTCATTCGTACGTTTCGTGCTCCAAAGTATGCAGCTTTCATCCAGTCAATGTGAACTGATCTCGGTGAGGTCTAAGAAGCCCAGTCGTTATTGAGATCTCAAGTCTTGGGATTAATTGACATTTCCTTTTGAAAAAAGACAGTGGGTATGGTTATTAGTATGACAGACGGAATAATCAAAGCATTCCACTCAATGTATTCCTCGTCAAAACTCGAAAGGTAACACTAAAAGTGGTGTATTGTTTAATGACGTGAGAGGACATGATATTCAATGCTTCAAAATATGAAATTCTAAAGTTCTGTTCTTACCACTGATAAGCATTGTATTTCTTAAATCAATTAACATGCATCTATTTAGTGCGATGGCAGTTGCATATGCAGTGACTCGATCACAAACACAAGATCACATGGAATATCAAGGTGGGGAAATTGGTTTATTTTCTTTACTCTTAGTCGCTTTGATATCACTGAATTGACTGCACTTTTCCTAATGGAGTACAACAGTTAACATGTACAATAAAGTGTTTTAAATATTTGTCATTTTGTCTTTATTTTTGACTGTGTACCGATTTCAGTAGTATCGAGCATCATAAAAGTTGATTTACAACGTGCTAATGAAAAAGAAGCACCTTTCAGATTATTCAATAATGATCCGATCTCAAATAAATTGGCATAGACAAAATAGAAAACGCCTTCTTTTCAGAATATGGTTGAAAAATTCATTTGATATCACTGTACGTAAACTTTCATTGCGTTGAGAATGAGATGCGGTCTGTATTTTTTTAAATTAAATTTCTTTAGTTCGTCACTGGTTCAAACAAGTTCATGGTTTGTTGAATTAAACTACGTAGTAAACTTTCACGGTTTCCACCGAGAAAGGTTAGCAGAATGTGATAAAATTTAACAGTCCGTATACAGGTAAACATATATAGTCAAACAGAATATTTTGAAGTTATGCATAAGCAGAATTGACTACAAACCGAATGTCATTATTTTCCTCACGATGATAGAACTTCACGCATTTTTATTTATTCGCAGATTTACAATCACAACCGCTAAATATGCTCAGTGTAAACACGTCATCGACAGAGCAAAAGGAGGGGGAGAAGTGGTCCGCCAATGTAAACCAGCCAATCACATCGCAAGGACACATAATCGCACTGACCAATCACAGGGCGTCCGACCTGAGTCAGACGGAACCGCAATTGGCAAGTAACGAAACAACCTGTACCCGGAATTCCGACAATACGATCAAACCAATAAAAGAGAATAATGCGGTGAATCACACACAACCCTTGTCTACCTTTGTTAATTGTAGTGCGCAACTGCTTACCCTGGTAACGGAAAACGGTTATTTTCCAGCAGGAACCACACTCACCACGGTCGACCATATTTACAATGTACATACGTTTCCCTGTTCACAACATACGACCTCCGATGTTACGAAACTGTCGCTCACTAAGAACACATGCAATCAAGTAGATGGGCACCCTCAACCTATCAGTGGTTCCTCACTAGTTAGCATTCCTGTGATCCCACCGTCCCCGTACGACGTTGCCAGTACACGCGTTGTCTATCCGTCTGCAGCGAGTGATACAAACAGCACTTGTGGGACCCGGCGACATTTCAGGCGGCGTGTTGCAAATTATCACCAGAATCAGCGACATCACTCACATCACAGTCAACCGAGACCGGTGAATCTGTTGAATCGTGTGACAAAGATGCGACCCAATTCAGACACTCAGAATGGAACGATTATTTGGAAAAATGGAACAAATCGAAATACAGCTTCGTTGTCGCCACCCGTTCGTTGCAGCTCGGGTACATCTGATTTGGGCCCCTCTGATAGCGGAAACCCAACAGATGTTGTCGAGCGACGTGCTACTTCAGTCGGACCTCCAACGCTACACACAGGAAATCAGAAAGATACCAAGTCAGGTGGATCTAGCGATCCGCTACAAAGTCCATCCGGCGGCGAATCATTGGATGTACTATCTGTGGACTGTATGGTCAATGCATGGGCTCATGTGGATTCTGGCCAACCAAATAGAACTTTATCAAATCCATTGATGCATACCAGTCAGACAGCAACTGCGTCCGATTTACCAGGGGTTACGGAATTCAGTCAATCGGTCCCGGACAAGACTTGCGCAATCCGATCCAGATCACACCATCAATTGATGCCATGTGACTTTAATGAATCAATTGAGCTGCGCACCTCAAGTGCTATGACCAATAAGGGAGTTTTTATTGGCCCGTTGAATCACCTGTCCGCGTCTAACCCCACGCCGCCTTGTTCCAACACGTTTTGTGCGTCGTGTGAATGGCAATCGCCCGGCTCAAATGAACGTGCCTTCACCGTGCTTGACCGGTGGTATCAACGATACTACACAATTTCGAGGAATCCGGATCAATGTGCGACCAAAATGCTCCGGTCTCCGATCAGTGTGCTAGCACCTTGTAAAGGTGAGTAGTGTGATTTTCTGTTTTTGACACAATTCAGTTCAGTTCAGTGATTAAGATGAAGAACTGGTTAAGAAAAACGATGGGTAACCGATAGGCGTTATGCTTTGTTTTGACGAGGACGAAAAAACGTTCTAATCTATTTGACACTGCAAATGGTGCAGAAATTTTTTTTTTATAGTTTTCGTGTCTCGCACTATCATTTACCTGCAACACGAAAGTAAATTTGTGGGTGTAAGATAAAAACTATAATGCAGTTGATACTACTATTATTACTACTACTAACAAAGATACCTGATTAGTTTCACGTGGCCTGTTGTACACGAGACGGAATACTTTTCGATTTCGTTTGGAAATTTGATAAATACCTGGCTTTGAAAGTCAATGTTTCATTATGGGAATTATTTGCAAGAGGTTGCTTTGCTTGTTCCACAGGGTTTTGCACAAATGAAT